ATTCTAGATCTGCAAAAAGTGTTGAGGTATGTTAATGTTAGTCAACTTAGGTAATGGCTATTTGTTTATAAAACGTAAACTACTGCTTTATGTTGTTTATGTTATTCAGACTACTTATCTTGTTGTTTAACTGAAATAACAAAAGTAGAAATTTAAATTACAAGCAATTATTTTGTTTCTGTATAGGCCTACATTGTTCGTATTACTAGAATTAGGATAAGCTTAATAATCAATTAATTGTTTTATTAGGGTAAAAATTTAGTAAGACTAAAAGCGTTAAAGTTTTAGCCCCAGCTTAAATAATGGTTGTAGTATAATTTTAAAACATCTTATTGGACACGGTCTTCAAGACATTACACGATACAAAGAATATAAAGGCTAAACTGGGTGTTATAGAAAAGCAATATCGATTCAAAATCTATTTTCATGTTAATTTTTTAGAAGTGTAAAGTCATGCTAAAGATATTCCAGCCAAACCGTCATTTGAACTATAAACAAACTTCAATTTTTTTTTAATATGTTTTACTTATATATGTAATAATCCTCATTTCAAATATGGCAATATTATTTATAATAAAGTCATTTTTTTCCATTTTTCAATATTCTTAAACAAAGTTCTTTCAGGAATGGGCATCTGTATTGAATTCAAAGTACTCGCTGCGCTACTTTTTGTTGCTAGTGTGGAACCAGATTGTCGAGATGTAGACTGGAGCGTTTCCTTTAAGAGGGCTGGTCTGTCAGAGTGTGATCGATGGGGTTACATGATTGCCAGTTTATGTAGAGGTCCAGTAGACCGATCTGCTGATCATATTGACAGACTGGAACGTGTTAGATGCTGCAATAAGCGATTTCCATTGACAGATTTCGATGAATATGTTTTTGAAAATTGGTGGCATACTATGAGCAGAGATTCTACTTGGTCATTGTGTCGAGATGGGTATTTCCTCACTGGTCTGTTTAGGACGAACATAGGGTCACGTCTCAGCAACATCAAGGATGGACGCTGCATAAGACCGCTTAACCATCCTTCTAGGTATGGACACTGCGAGGATGTTGACATCTCGGATTGTTTTGAGCAGGCTAAGTGTTGCTCTTGCCCAGAGGACAGCTTTATTGCTGGTCTGTATCGTGGTGATTGTAACGACCTGCGATGTTTGGACAAGATACGTTGCTGCAAGTGGGCTGACTAACCTCATTAAACAAAAAGATCAATGATCGAAAGCAGAAGCAATATGTTTTTGGGTTCAATAAATGAAAATGTACACATACATACATGGCAAATGGACTGACCATTAATAAATTATTAAAACTTCATTGCTTTAAAAAGTTGTCTTTATCTATACTCTGTGAAAAACCTATCTGTAAAGGACCACAACATGTATAGTAATCAGCACATACACGGCAATACCCAACTTAAACACAATCAACTAAAACCAAAACACACCAAAAAAAGTAAAGAAACACAAACGCAAACACAAAACCAAACGCAAACATAAGCCCAAAGAAAACACAAACACAAACGCAAACAAAAAAACCGAAACAAACAATATCCAAGCATAAACTCAATTACAAACGCAAACTCAACCCAAATACAAATAAAACACAAACGCAAACCTAAACGTGCTCACAGTCTAGCCCGGGGTACCAAATCGCACCATGCTGGGGCGCCGGCGGAATCACCTGTTTCAGCTTAGTAAACAACTGTAGAACCCCAACGAACTTAGGCGCCATAACGAACACGGGATGGCCCAGGGAGTGCCGAATAGCACCTAGTCGGGGTGCCGGAGGACGCCCAAATTCGATTCACTTAAAGACTATAATAACCTTTCTTTTCCATAGTTTATCACACTGTTTAAAACGAATTTATGCACCTTAGCGTTCACACAATAGCCCGGGGCGCCAAATCGAACCAGGGGCGCTTGCGAACGTGCTGTTTCAATTTAGTGAACAATTAAAATACCACAAGTTTATCCGCAAATGAAAGAAGTAAAGATGTAGCAGCTGGTTTCTTAACTGTTATTGATTTTTTTAAAATAATTAGTAAACAGTACGTTCAGTGCATAAACAGTGCATAAACAAAAATAAAATATAGTATCTAAATCACCTACCACATTGCACTTGATCAATCCATGCTAGTTATGTAAGATTTTTCTTTTTCCCAACATCAAAACAAAATAATAAAAGTATTTTTTTCCTCCGATGTATGTTTTTTATAAAGGGAAGTAATTGTGTTTTCCTAATTCATCCATGGACGTAATGAGTGCTAAAGAACTCAATGTAAATAATTTTCAGACATAATTTAAATTTGTGGAAAAGGTGATATATTTTTTTTAAAATTGTTTTTGAACATGCCGGCAATTATTATTATAAGTTTGAAAAATGAAAATTGTTTTACAAAATCTTCAATATGAATTTTTAAATTCATGAATTTAGACGGTGATTATTTTAGATATATAACACTTTACGCCAAAGAAGCACAGTTGTTTCTTATTTGCCTTGGTAATCCTTGGTTACAAACATACAGAACTATACTAGCCTCTGTGAAAAACCTATCTGTTAAGGACCATACCCTAAGGAAATATATTAGTTTTCGAATTAACCCTAACCACAACTAACCAAAACCAAAACATAAACGCTAACACAACCCCAAACAAAAACACAAACAAAAACGTAAACGCAAAAGTTAAAACAAACGCCAGCTGACGTTCAAGCTTCAATGTAGTGAACGACTGTAATATCCTCGCTTGTTCGCACACGGAAAGATAGAAGTAAACATAGAGGGCATTAAGGAGCAGCTTTTAACTGGTATTGATTAATAATAATAAAAAGTAAACAAAAACAAAAACAAAAACATACCCCCTCACCTTCCCGCAGAAAATGTTTGTGTGTCCTAAATTGTCAAAAAAAAAAAAAAAAAAAGAAAATGGAGTTCATATGGGTGTGTTACAAAATCAAACAACCCATCACTATCGTAAACTTTATTGCAAGGTACCGTGTCAGACAGGAGAAAAACAGAAAGGCAAAAACGACAAGAGATAGATATATTCTTGGACAAATATTCTCTGGACAAATCACCCAGATGAAAAATATCAAGACACATAATCTCAAGGACAAATTATCCATAGACAGAAGATTTCAGGATAAAATATATCAGGCAATATCTCACAGCATAGTTTGTATAGTATTTGAGATAATCTTAGTTTTATTTTAGCATTTTAAAAAAATGTATTGTCTAAATGGTTTAGTAAGAAAAGATTTGTGGCATAGGTTCGTCACATTGTCTTTAGCATATTAACATGGGACGTAACCAAATAAATTGTTAAATTATCCCATTGACTGGTAAACCATGGTATATGTTAAATTTAGGGTTAAAATAGAGACGATGTAAGCGTCTAGTACACGGGTCGTTTTACCTTAGGTCTGTCATCACATTCGTATTACACGTCCCCCTCGGCTGATATACACCCATGTGCATTACTCAACCCCTTCTATTAACTAAACACATAATACCTCGTATAAGTAAAATGTAATCTATATGACACGTTCCAGGAAGCGCCGGGTACATACTGCTAGTTTTAGTTTATTTTTTAAAAAGTGTTTCTGCTGATGAATAATGGTAACAAACTGGTGAATTTCCTACAATGAAACAACTTTTGCTGCTGTAGCCAACACACATGGTATTGTCCATATCTGGCCATGGTTAGAAAATACATGCGTCAATATTTCAATTGTATTCTTGAACTGAGTAAACATTGTGTAGTGTTATGATGCATTGATCACATAGGTTGGTGCAACGGAATATTGGTGCGCATGTATGTTGAACGAATGGATGATGTTACGCCTATAGTGTGACAGTTACGTTTTTGTTCTGAGACTAGTTGCTGTGTATTGTGTGAGTGGGTCTGATCATTTCCGACTTTGTGAAAGGATGCACATGTCCAGTACTAGTATAAATATAAGATGAGGAAACATATAATCATTTAGATGATTAGTCGTCACCTGTGTCGCCTAGATGAGTAGTTATACAATGCTTGCCCAGGGTTGCACTATCTTCGTATTGTAAAGGTATTCGCATATGGTATAGGTTCAAGTAGTTTAATCCTCCCACTGCATAACTGCGGGTTACATAGTCCCCATCTATAACATATAGGTCTGAACCACGACAATGTATGATTGACATGTGACTACACTTTACTAAGGCGGAGCTATTCTCTCAGACAGAAATGTCTATAAAGTGAGCTCAATTTGTGGAGCAATTACACCGTTAATTAAAACTGAGTCAAACCACACAAGCCTAATAAGGGTTGTCGTAATTTATTAGTTGATTTTACGGAGCTCGCTTCCCCGTCGTGCGCAACAGTGGATTAAGTAGATCGGAATTTAATTTATTTTGCGTGTTCAACTACAATAAATACTTTATTTTATCATAGTTGTTGGGATGAGAGTTTGTCTTCATTACAACCCAGATTAAAAACCTTGTATGCACGCGTTAATTATAATTATTAAGGATCAGCTAGAATAAAACTTTTAGACTACCCACATGTCAATTTCACAACATAACCAATTCAAACAATGTTGTTTCAATGCATGCTTCAGCGTCCCACGTTTCTCCTGATAGTTGTATACCTTCTGTACATGATTATACTTAACCAGCGACTCTCAAGCTTGAATCCGAGTTCAAATCAGTCGAACGTCTCTGATTGGTACCTAACTAACGTTAGGGAAACTAAGCCAGCTGGGCATAATGCTGAACACACTATCCCTTTATATGTGTCTTGTGCATGACCGGGAAATGATGAGGAAACAGTTATAAATGTAGAGATGTTTTACAGATGTAAGCCTCAACAATCAAACCGGTCTCTACCTCCGCGGATTCAAGACTTACGACTCTTAGCCTCATACATAAACCAAGACTGCGACGTTCATTGTCTCTATATTGTAATATGTATCATCTGTAGGAACCTTGCAACAGCAGGAATTATTTAACTGTTCTAGTCTTAAAGTAATATCCAAAGCATATAAATAATAAACGGAAAAAAATATCTGGTAGCGAGAAGCATTTGTAGACAGATATCGCATAAACGGCTGACACTTGGAAAAAAAACAAGGGGCAGACACTACGAAGATTTCAGTTAAATAAAACAACAAGAATATTTAAAATAGCTTCAGACATATGTGTGTGTGTGTCTTTTGCCAGCATCAATGGCAGCAAACCATAAATAAAAAAGCCACGTCATTTTTGTAATCAAAATACGTCATACTACAATAAAATTGATATAATAACACCAAATAATACACATGCAAGTGCTAAAATATGAGTTGCTTTAAGTTATATTTGTTTAAAGGCAGTTTGAGAATCGACATGAGCAAAGTTTTGTGAGCATTGATGTTTACGCACATTTATCTAGACGTATAACTGTCGGTTGTTAGCATCTAACAACGATAGAAATGGGAGGGCACTCACTCAATGAGTTAACCACACCTCGCAACTACAGGTATCTAACTCTAGTTTATATTTCTAGTGCGGTTACACCAAGCTGTAGGGACGGAATGGCCTAGAGGTAGAGAGCTACTGCCAACCCGTAAGACTACCTAACTCACGTAAATCTGGCTGGGCAAAGTGCTGGGCTAAATCTTGTGTAGTGTTATGATGTCCTTAACATAGGTTGGTGCGACGGAATATTGGTGTGCACTTATGTTGAACGAATGGACGATGCTATAGTGTGATAGCGACATTTTTGTGTAGAGACTGGTTGCTGTGTATTGTGTGTGAGTGGGTCTGATTCTTTTCGACTTGGTAGAACTGTGCACATGATTATAGTACAAGAATGTCGAGGCCACAGAAACACGTGAGTCTACTTCATCTGACCCTTAGACCTTTAGATTTGTAAGGGGAGCTTTATTTACACTAAGATTTAAGACATGTATTAATACTATGTTTATAAAATGATACTTTGTTAGGACTAGGCCGGCCAGTTTAAGGATGTATGAGACAGGTAAACATATCCCGGCTCTTAAGATCTAACGTTAACCGGGTGTTTTTTTATTGTAGGACCTGGTAGGCCAGTTTAAAGGATGTATAAGGAAGCTATCAATAAACAAGCCTATGTTAAAGGATGTATAAGGTAGCTATCAATGAACAAGCCTATGTTAAAGGATGTATAAGGGAGCTATCAATGAACAAGCCTATGTTAAAGGATGTATAAGGGAGCTATCAATGAACAAGCCTATGTTAAAGGATGTATAAGGGGGCTATCAATGAACAAGCCTATGTTAAAGGATGTATAAGGGAGCTATCAATGAACAAGCCTATGTTAAAGGATGTATAAGGGGGCTATCAATGAACAAGTTTATGTTAAAGGATGTATAAGGGAGCTATCAATGAACAAGCCTATGTTAAAGGATGTATAAGGGATCTATCAATGAACAAGCCTATGTTAAAGGATGTATAAGGGAGCTATCAATGAACAAGCCTATGTTAAATGATGTATAAGGGAGCTATCAATGAACAAGCCTAAGTTAAATGATGTATAAGGGGGCTATCAATAAACAAACCTATGAAAACACCGCTGAAATATTACTTTATGTCCGGTTGCTGAACTGTCACGTGTCAACAGTCGTCAATAAACTCGTGTACCGGTTCTCTACTGTTGTGTCACTCGTTTTGATTATTACATAATTAAAATTATGTTATTTATATACAATCATTTACGATTGGTATACAACTATAAAGATATGAGGTTATCGGCCTTTCCATTGACATGAAACACATTAAACATAATAGAAGCCTAATAGTATTTTTGTAGGTTAAAAAATGGCTATTTGTACCACAAAAGTAAACAAATGACGCTGTACACTGTACTTTGAACCCGGTTTTTCAAAAAAGAAATAATGCTTTAGGGTCATAGCAATGTCTATTTAGATTCAACGATGGTTATTCCTAATTGATCATGTAAAATTGGGAAATCAATGATTTGTTCGATTTATCAAGAAAAGTAGGCCTACTCCCGGCTATGTTGTTAAGAGGTAAAAATTTATTGGTTTTGATACAAAAAGTTTAAGATTACATAAGTTCTTGTTGAGTTGATAGGTTGTCATTGGAAACATTGTAGCTGTATTGCATTGTTGGATCGATTTGTCCGCTTCGTCACAGTAGATGTATGTTACTTCGTTGTTTGAGTCTTGTTAATAATAGACTTCATTGTGGGCTGGGTCGATGTCTGGTTGCCAACTTTAAGGGTGTGTTTTTAGATGTTTGTTTGTTGTAAAGAAGCAGTCTGGAACCTCACAATATAAACACTAATAGGTAAGTGCTCTTTGGTGTTATGTTTCGGAATGTTCCAACATGTTTGTCTTTATTGTAAATCTAACAATTTAGGGCGTCCATGTGCTCTTCGTTAACCAAATGGATTGACAGTGGTCCGAAGATTAAAAACAAAGTAGATTTAAAATTTTGAGGCGATTCAGGTCTTCACTATGTGATTTGGACGGAGTGGTTGCTTCTGATGTCATTGAACTTTACTGGTGATGGATTTTTTTTCTTTTTAGGTTAAAGTGATATTAGTGGTGTGGCTTTTTACTTGCTGTGCAAACGGTAATACTTCGGTTGTTGGTGTGGGGGATAATATAGATGATTTTTTTTTGGCTGAAAATTTTCAGAGCTTGTATTAGAGTCTCTTGCATAAAGAAGGGAGCACCCAGCTCAGGGTTTCATCTAATCGGGTTATGTCGCCTTTTGTGAAACTAAGAGTGTATTGTCTGTTGGTCTTGTAGAATTCTACCGCTTGGAGATCTCAATCACTAGAGCTGATAGCCATGCGTAAACTCAATAGTAGTTAAAGTATAGAAATTATTTTTATTACCCCTTTTTTAGTATTCTTTTTTGTTATATTTAAATTCATTAAGCACAGCTGTTAAATCCTTCGGTTTCAATTGATGCCTTCAATTAAGTAAACGATGTCAATTTTAATGTCATCATCACTTGCTTCAGAGACTTCGAAATATGAAGGGTTAGTGTGGTCAACACTATGCCCAGCCGCCTTTGATTCCCTAACAATTCTAACCGCGAGTTTAATTATCGATCTAACATGGTACTAATTATAAGATTGTATATTTATGAAAAGGTGATATAAAAATAATTAAAGATTGAAATTTTTTAAAATTTAATAAATAAATGTTAATATTTCAAAAATAAACTTATTACATTAAAGTTATAAAATTGTAAATATTATTCTATAAGAACGTTGTCTGTGTTTAGATAAATCACTTTTTACTTTAATTTTGTGTCTATTGTTATGTAGAGGGAGTGGAAGCAAGAGATGTAACTGAAATAGCAATATAAACAGAAAGTGATATTTCAACGCTAAGGGTAGACAAAGGTACAGCCGCCTTTACTCTTCCTAACGTGGATTAGGTACCCATCAGAGCTGGGTGGCCTCAGAACCGGTCTACTGACTTTAACCCGGATTCGAACTCGAGACTTACGGGTTAGCAGTCCAGTAGTACATGTGTAAAGATTGTAAATTTCACCAGTTGTTTCAATACTAGTATTCATAACAATAAAAGAAAATTTTTTGTGTTGTTAAGGGAGACAACATTTTAAATAATTTTTCTAATCGTACTGATACATCAACTGATCACTAATGTCGTATTAAAATGGAGTATTTAAATTTCGCGTTGTACTTCATTAGTCAACGTTTATTTGATTTAATTTTTTTTATTAATAAGACGTATTTTTAAGCCATCATTATTACTTAGATCATTAAGAAGTAAAAATGTTTCTCAATTTCATAACTTTGATTATTTTGAGAAAAATAATATATTTTATTATTGTGAAATGAAAAAAAAAATTATTTCTTTGATAAATATGAAATATTTGTGTTATTCTTTTTATTTTCTGAAACCTAGTAAATTATTTGTTAAAATTATTTGACAATTGTGGCTTGAATTTCTTTTTCTTCTTTTATGTTAGAAATAATACAACTATTCTGCTAAATAACGTCTGTTTTCCAAATAGACAACTTTAAAAAAAAATTGTATACATAGAAGTTATTTTTAAGCAGGTAATAGTTTCAAAGACTGACGCCTTGGAAAACCATATCAGCTAAGTCAGTAACCGAGGACGAACTTTCACCAAAGTACAATTCGCTGATGATATAGATGCCATTGCAACCGTGAAGACATGGAGTAGACATAAAAAATGACCAACATCCTGAATGGTATGGCTGCTGATGTGTAAATGGCATGATTGTAAGACTATGTTCCGAGAGAGAAAATAAGGGGAAAGCAAAGACAAATATTTATATATGACATAAAGGATCGGACTAGTCTTCTCCTAACAGAAACAAACTGAGCGTCAGAAGACTAAAGTGGATGGCGAATAATTTATGTGTCCACTGTGGCACCCTCAACAACCCTAATAAGGGTAAAGTGAAGATGATGATGATTTGATGATGATATATCGCCTAATTATCGCAAATAAACATACAAAAAAATAATTTGATTTCCGATTTTTATTATATGAATTAACCAACAAAAATATCTATTGGCTGTTTCTTTTGACAAGACTCCTGGGTCATCCATAAATGTCTTCACGCTTTTTACCAGCCAGTCCCTGGTCTTCGACACCTCATTGTTGTTCCATTGTGTGCGACCCTATTAGACAGAAAAATGTTAAAAACATCTAGAAATGTTATATATATATATATATATATATATATATATATATATATATCTGTATATATACAGCAAAGTAGTCGGGTGCCTGCACTTCCCGGCGCCGTAGGCACTTCAAATTTGGCAGTATCGTGCCTTGGGGCAATAGAACACGAGGGCCGGTTGGCCGGTTGGTCAAAACTGACCTCGACTGTCTGTTGCCTTATGTGAGCTATATTACGAAAAAAACCTTTTGCCGAACGACCCCCCCTTGATATTTTGTGAGTTGGTAGAAGAACGCCTAGGGTGTCATAAAAAACTCGGCATATCTGGAAAAACTTCGTAAAGTGGTCAGAACTGACCAGTTGTGTTTCCCTATATAATCTTTGTATTTTATGGGGGCGGGGGGGGGAAGAGTAATTTGAACACAGATTTTAGGGCACTTACGGTCAGCACATGTGGCTAATTTTTTGCAAGCACCTAGATCAGGGGTCTTTAAACTGTTCAGCCCGAGGGCCGCATTAACTATCAAATATCAGTTCAGGGGCCAGTTTCTTCCAGGCGTCTCCCCCACCCAAACGAAATATAATTCATATAGAAATACATACACATTTCAACACATTCGAGGTCCAGATTGGCTCTCAAATTATTCTTCACTTATTTCATTTTTTAAAATGTTTGTTCACACAGGTACGTCGTTCCAAAATTTGAAAGATACTTTGATGCAAAAGTTTTAATATCAGGAATGTCTTCCTTGGGTAAAAACTTATAAAACCAACCCGACCTTCTTTGATATTGTCTCCAAGGAGGTCATTTGCTTGCAATTCAATGACCTCTAGCTGCAGTTCATTTGAGCAACTGGCCACATTTGCTTCAAATGGGTTTTGAAACAGTTTCTTTTCTTCTCCCTTTGAATCCAATTCAGAAAACAGCTACTAAAACTGCAGCTGCAGGTCTTTGGTGATCGCGCATGCAAATTGTGTGATGTAATAAGCAGTTTCTTCAGCCTTGAACAAGTGCGTCAAGTTGTTGGCCTGTACTTATTCTGAAAACACTACAACTTTGGATCTGAAGACCTTAAAGTGGGTGTATAGATCAGAAACTAGATCTCTCTTGAAGTTTTAAGTTCAGAAAATTAAAATGACTAGTTGTGTCTGCATCAAAGGTCAATTTCTATACCCACTCTCCATCATACTTTAATGGCAGTGGCTTGCCTTTAATTTCCATTAAGTAACCTATTTCGTTTTTTAACTTAAATACGCTGCTCAGAGCTTTCTCACAACTTAGCCATCTTACTGGTGTGTAATATGGTAAATCTTGCGATTCGGTGGGGTTTTTTTTTTGCCATGTCCCTGAACTATCTATGGTTGAGCTCGTGTGACCCTTTGAAATTCAGCATCTTCACCATAGGATTCAGAACACTATGAATGTCCATAAATTTAACACACAAAGCTTGCTGGTGAATAAAACAGTGCAGGAACTTTGGTTGTAGAAATGTTTTTCTCATTTGCTTGTCCAACCAAGCCTTTCTTTATGCCACTCATTTTCTTCGCTCCAACAAATGTCAGACTACTGAGTTAGTCTAAGTTACAATCCGCAATTTTTTTTTAACTCATGGAATATATCCTCTCCTGTAACAGTGCTATACATGTTTTGTAGGGAAGCCTGCTCTTGTCTTCATCCACACCTCTTATGAACACAAGAAGTTGAAAAGTGAAACAGCAGTTCATTGACTCATTCATTACAATTGAAAACTGGCGAAACGTGCTTGCATTTTTCACGATTTGAGCCACGAGGTTTTCTCCAATGTCTGCAACACGGCGGGAAACGGTATTTGCACCCAAAGCTACATTTTTAAATTGCTTTGAATTTTCTGGGCAAAGTTTATCAGCCATCTCAAACAAACATTCTTTCCGTCGAAAAAAAAAAGATCTCCGCAGGCCGGATGAGAGGACGTAGTTTGGAGACCCCTGACCTAGATAAATGGCTAGGGCGTATGTAAAAAGTGTCGTTTCGACTCATAGCTGTCGACGATAGCTAAAAGATGACCTCGAGTGAAATTCTCCTTATTTGAGCTATACAACGAAAAAAAAAATTCTGTCAAACGACCCCCATTGATATTTTGTGAGGTGCTAGAAGAACGCCAATGGTTGTCGTAAACACTCGGCATATCCGGCAAAAATCTACAAATTGGTCAAATCTGACCAGTCGTATTTCCCTATATAATCTTTGAAGTTTATGTGAAAAAGAGAATAAATTCAATACAAATTTGACTAATTTTTTGCATGTCCCTCTATAGATGACTAGGCCGTATGGAATAACTGTCGGTTCGACTCATAACCCTGGACGAGGACTAAAATATGACCACGATTAAAATTCTCCTTATATGAGAAATATATATATATATATATATATATATATATATATATATATATATATATATATATATATATATATATATATATATATATATATATATATATATATATATATATATATATAAATACATTGACGAACGATTCCCCTATTATATTTTGTGAGGTCATAGACCGACCCTGAAGGGAACAAAAACACAATTATTCGCGCCGGAAAATATGGGTCAAAACTGCTCAGTCGTATTTCTCAAAAAAATCTTTGTATTTTGTGGGGAAAACAGAGGGTAATTTCAACAAAGATTTCAAGGTATTTACCCTGTATACCGCAAGCTAATTTTGTGCATACTCATAGATAAATGGTCGTGCCGTGGGGCAAACCTGTCGGTTTCACTCAAAGCCCTCGATGAGGGCTAAAATATGACCACGAGTGAAATTCTCTTTAAATGAACTTTATGACGAAAAAAAACTTTCGCCGAACAACTATTCCCCCCCTCCCTTGATATTTTGTCAGGTGGTAGAAGAACGCCTAGGGGTGTAAGAAAAACAACTCGCTATATCCTGGAAAAATCTGGAAATAGGACAAAACTGACCAGTCGTATGTCGTATTTATAATCTTTGTATTTTATGGGAAAAACAGTAATTTCAACACTAATTTTAGGGTACTTAACCTCTGTATATCTGGCTAATATTTTGCATACACCTCTATAGATGACTAGGCCGTACGGAAAAACAGTTGATCAGACTCAAAGCCCTCGAAGAGGGCTAAAAGATGACTGCGATTGAAATTGTGAAATTCTCATTATACAATATATATATAATATATATAATATGAAATATATATAATATATATATATAATATATAAATATAATAATAATATTTATATATATAATATTTAGTGAGGTCCTAGACCGACTCTGGAGGGTAACAAAAACATTATTCCCGTCGGAAAAAAACCATTAGAATCGTTAGATTTGTCCACATGGCGTAATTTCCCTATATCAACATTTGTTTGTGAAAAAGTAATTAAAGAGTATGTCATTTGGTCTATGAACAGGGGAGGTAGCTTTTTAATGTTATAATTTTAAAATATTTTGTATACTATTTTTAAGAAAAAACAAAAATCATAAAGTAGGCCTATAGCATTTTTAAAATATATATTTTGTTATAAATTAAGTTTTGTATTGTACTGAAATTGTAAAAATTAATTTCGAAAGTAGTTTTATATAATATTTGATTGATACTATTAAGAAAGCCCTTGCAGTTCTAATAACCTTGCGAGTAATAAGTTTGCGATTATTCCATCAATGTTTGAATGACATGAAATCTCTCAACTGTATAAATATAGGCCCTATGCATTTAACAGAAAAGCCAATCACCTATTTATTAATCATTCAATTTCTCAATTTTTTTGAAAGCCTATGTGAAGCTAGGCAGTATGCCTAGTATATATATACATTGCAAAGGTCATGAGAAATGCCCAGTTGCATTATCAACATTTTTTGACATTTACAGTGACTCTCTCTAACTAACACATACTTTGGACAAATAGGTGCATTCAAATATAAAAATAATAAAAAAAAATAAAACACAAACACCCGAACTCACACATTGTTCATCTGTATATGTACACACATATGTGTATTAAATTCATTTTTTTTTACGCCTCAGCTATAAATGACGTCATGCTTTAATTGACGATTTTAAAGGACCCCCTATCCCAAGTACGATAATGACGTCATTTAAGGACGACCTTTTACCTGCACACATATTCTTCCCAACAGCATGGTTTCCAGTCATAACATTTTCCCCTGTATCGTGCGCAGCTATAACAAATACATTTTATTTATTAATAGAAGTGTGTCAGTCCTTCCTTCCATCCGTTATTCCTTCATCGCTATAGATTCTCGAAACATAAATGTAAACATCAACACATGCCGTATTTTTACGTCACGCATTTTCTTATTATAAGTATTGGAGTAGGGTTTGTTTATATAACTACTTATATTTCTTAATTGTCGTCAAATTTTTACTCTTTTGCATACGTAAACTAAAGACCGTGAAGAAATTATTAAATACATGCACATTGCTAAAACATACTAAACGGATCAATGTAAAATAATACATTTGCTTATATGCCAAGAATTTGGATTGATTTTAAGTGTACCAACGTGGGAACAGGACAAAACTAACCACAAACACAAAAAATAAACACAACACAAACTACTTATATTTCTTAATTGTCGTCAAATTTTTACTCTTTTGCATACGTAAACTAAAGACCGTGAAGAAATTATTAAATACATGCACATTGCTAAAACATACTAAACGGATCAATGTAAAATAATACATTTGCTTATATGCCAAGAATTTGGATTGATTTTAAGTGTACCAACGTGGGAACAGGATAAAACTAACCACAAACACAAAAATAAACACAACACAAACTAAAACTAAAACAAGCACACACAAACACGATGCAAACACAAGCGCAAAAAAAAGACAAAGAAATGCACAAACACAAACGCTAACGCAGACGCAACACGCAAACACAACGACAAACATATAAAAACAATCGCAGAAACAACGCAAAACCAAACACAAACACAATAGAAAACACAGTCGCACACACAAACGCAAACACAAATGCAAACAAAAATGCAAACGCAAACGGAAAAACAAAACAAAAACGCAAACATAGACCCTATCCCTGCCCTAAACGCAAACAATAACGCATAACATAAACACAAACTTTAATGCTAACATAAAAGCATAGTGCTCACAGTGTAGCACTGGGCGCCGAATAGCACCCAGCCGGTATACGACAATAATACCCCCAGCTTGTCCAAAAACCGAAAGGTGGAAGTAAACAGAGGACATTTAGGAGCAGCGTGTAAACTGTTATTGATGAAAAATAATATCAGTGTATGAAATAATTTTAAGACAATCCGTGTTTTACCAACCTCATTGCACTTTATCAACCCAAGCTAATTATAGTGTTTCAACAATAATGCTCTCATAGGCGTCAGCGCAATATACATTCACATTGTTTTACTTAAATATCAATATTTGGTGTGTGTTAAATTTCCTTTTCAATTACCTCCCCTGTCATAAGTATTAAATATTTTATTAAACATTTGAATTGATGACTTTTATTCGACCCTAAAATTATTCATTTTCCTAGTCATATAAGCGAAAATATTATTTGATATTTATCCTTTTAATATGTTTTAAATGTGAGTGTATTTCTTCAAGTTCGTTTCTTGACGAATGCGATAAAGAATAACAAATTTGCCGACAATAACAAAATTTAATTCGTTATATAAATAAACCCTAGTTAAGTAATTGTATAAGACAATGCGATGCAAGTAAAGTCCAGTTATATGTTGATGTTTTCTTATATGGTTCTGGTTCTATAGCAATTACTGAATGATGGAATGAAGGAAGGAAGGACTGACACACTACCACCAGCCTTGTGTAAAAGATTATTATGACTATGATTACAATTAAGTTAATCATGGATTAAATCATGGATTTAGTGCTTCCGTCACCAGCACGGAATGCGGGCGCTCTGCTAGTATGTTATTTACGAGCCAACTCACGGCGTAACATACGCCGCCATTTAGTTTTTTTTTTAAATTTCTACATTTCAGTAATTCATTATTTGTGAAAGCTGCCACTGAAAGAGTTTGCTCTAAAACACTATCAGTAGCTCGTTAGGGCTGATAATACCCCTCCTACTTTCACCCAACAGCTACCCCGCCCCCCGTGAAAGCAGTCTCCTCTTAGTACCTCCCTTAAGTTTAAAATTGTTTCAAACTAAGTTATCTGTCCCTAATAGCCGTGACTAATTAGACCCTGCTCTACGATTGTAAAAAAAGGTGTGACCCACAACTCAAAGGACCAGTGGGGGTGGGGGTGGTAGCGATATGCCTAGAGAGGAAGAGAGGGGGCTGCTAGGCGGCGTTTACGTCTTTTGGTGTCCTGCAAGGTCCCCTTGAAGAGAAATATATATATATATATATAGATGTTACTTATTTTGTGAATTCAACACTACCAATGCTGCGACTAAAAATATTTTGCTTTAAAACACTATCAGTAGCTAGTGATTATTCTGACCCTCACGTTCCACTCCTCTCCCCCCTCGCTCGTGAAATCTGCCACCGTGACGACAGTTTACAGGCGACATTAAAAAAAATCAAGCAGAACGTGTAAGTACTTCCCCTAAGTTTCAAATCGTTTAAAAACTAAATTATCTGCCCCTAATAGCCGTCACTAATTCGACCCAAAAGTAAACAGCTCACCAGACAGATGGGGGTGGGGGTGTTAGCGATATGGTCTGTTGAGCTTACGTCTTAGTGGTGTCTCGCTTGGTCCCCATGAAGTGAATTATATAGACAGATTGCTATGTTATTATGAAGATACACTTGTAAGTCTGGTTTAGTTAAGGTTTAGTTTGTTAAATGCATGTATAAATTTCATCATCATTCCCGTTCGAGCCCAAGACACATGTGGCAGATGAAGTAGGGTTTATCTGCATCAGAGACCTCAGCATATGAAACGATAACTGGCGGTCACAACATTACATAAAATTTCTAAGAGCCGACTACACTAAAATGCTATCAAATGGTCATGCAATATTATTGGAATTAATGTGAAAGCTTAGAGGTTCTCAATACATCTTTATATACATTTAAGTATGACAAACTAATTATATTTTTTATTGAAAATATACTCTAAAATTATTCCTAGAATAAACGGATTTAAAAATTAGTAGAGACTACGTCTAAAATTAGATGTGTTCCGCTTGTTTACATATTGGGCCCTGTACTTATGCTCACTACCACCATTACCAAAACATTTTAAAATTTACCATAACATTTGCTGGTTTTGATACATAACTCTAAACAACTAGGTAATAAAAGTAACAAAAATATATGGCTAATATAAACATACGCTCTTTTGCCAAAGGTTTCTGTTAAGCTACATGCCACCAAAGAAACTGAGCATAATAGCAACAACAGTAAGATCAAATTCCTCATCATGAGTTAGGTCACGATCTGTATATCTATTTCATGAGAAAATTTGTTCATAATAAAAGCAACACATTTTTTTTTAAATTCATAAAAAGCGTTTTAATAGCAATATTTTATGTAATAATGCATTTAAAAAAATAAAAGATTGTTCTTGAAATATATAATAATACACTATCTTTTAAATTAATGTAAACAAAAGCGTTGGTCACTATAATTTCGATTTGATACCTTTACTTTTATTTAGGAAGAGACCAACACTTTTGTTTATAGGATTTTAAATATTATTGTATTATTATATATTTCATTAATTACATTTTTTTTTCTACTTTTTAGTGGATTATTACATATAGTGACATAGCTAAGAAAAGTTAAATTGCTAAAAATCAGACACATTTAAAATAACATAGGCTACCATCACTTTTTAGAAAAACAAAATTTAAATAAATTATTAGTCAGCACTACATCGTATTAAATACACACACTGATTAAGACACATAAATGATTCCGTAAAGAATCCCGGTTGTTCAATGGTATTTGTGTTGTCCTTTAAAATATTTTGTATTACTTTTGGCAGAGAAAACTATGTACATTTCATAGCGTAGGTCTTCATATTTAGATATATATATCTAATTCAAATTTGTTTCTTCTTCTTCGTTCTTAATTTTTAGTGTTGGAAGGGATCGAGCCTTATCTGCCATAGGGTTTGAACTCGAGACTTTTCGAATGTATCAACCATGAGCTTTTGTCGACTCGACCACGCCTCCATCACAATTAAGGATACGTGTCAACTGGTTATGCGCCATTGAGGCCATTGACTCCGATTTCAGCCTGCTTTTGTTTTTGGATTTGCTTCCATAGCCTTTGTCCAACCAAGAACAAACTGCAAGGTAGCAGTTGTTTAATTTTGGAGTTGTCTCTCCTAGAAGAGTAGCTGTCCCCAGCTAACGAGACTCATCTGCCCGAGGGTTCGAACTCGTGACTATTCGTCAAATTTGTTTAAAATAGGTCATTTCTTCATATTCTAAATTTAGAAGATGACGCCATTTGTTTTGTGCACTTTCCGTATTTTAAACTCGTGAAATGTGAAGTCATTGTTTTCCGCGTTCTTGTCACAACAATAAACACTTTTCCGGTTGCATAATTAAAAGTGTTTATTTATTCGAATATGCATTTATTTTTATTTTCTTTCTTTAAATAAAAAATAGTTTAAACATTTAAAGCACACAGCATATTATTTTCAAGAAAATCCCAAATCAAGTTCTCCATAATATATCGATGAAGATACTGATTTAATATCCTGTGAAAATATTTTGCGGACAGAGAGATAGAAGTTCGCGAATGGGCTTTTCTATATTAGAACTAACCGTTGGTACCCGTTACACGCGAATTGTCGGTCTATATATATGTTAATGGTATACATTTTTTAGAAGAATATTTTATAAAATAGTTATTGGTTAAAACGCAGTGTGCTTTACTACAAGTTTAAGGATATTAGTGACAAAGCATAGAGATAACTAAATAGCTAAAAGTCCGACACATTTAAAATAACATGGGCTACTAATACCTGTTAGAAAAAATAAAACCAAATTATAGACAAAATTAGACAACACACCATATTAAATGCACACATTAATTAAAAGACTTAAATGACCCCGTTTAAAACCCGGCTTTTCAATAGTATTTATGTGATTTTTAAAAGTAATTTGTTTTGGCCGAGCAGTTTAGTATAAATTTCATAAATTACGTCTCGATAAGTAAAACTATAGATCTAAATCAAATTTTAATGAAATAGTTCATATCTTTATATTCTAAAATTGGATGATGACGCCATTGGTTTTGTGTACTTTCCATACTTCAAACGTATGACATGTGACGTCATCGATTTCTGCGTTCTTGTCCCAACTATAAACACTTTTCCGGTTGCATAATTAAAAATGTTTTTCTACATTCAAATATGCCTTTATTTTTAATTTATATTTCTTCTTTAAATAAAATGTTGTTATACATTTAAAACATCTACCTTATTATTTTCAACAAAAGTCCGTATCAATTTCTCCATAAATCGCTAAAGATTCTGATGTGATATCCTGTGAAAATATTTTGCGGACAAAGAGAGAGAGATAGAGAGAGAGAGAGAGAGAGAGAGAGAGATGCACATGGGCTTTTAGGAGTGTAGGGGACTTATTTTAATCGGACAAATATTCTAAATGAAGATTTATTAAAATTTCGGCGGTTAACACGTAATCGAGTCAGAAAAACTAGACTTTGCAATTCAGTCCGTGTGTGTATGTGTGAATTTATGTCTGTAAAAACGATAACTTGAATAGGTTACAGCTAGGTTATTAAACTTTTATGTAAGTATTATATCAAATTTGCAGTTCTGTATTCACTTTTGAGCGATTTCCAATAGCCGGAAGTGGGACTTATTGTACTTTTAATTTTTCAAAAGCCTATAACTTGAGAACGGTTTCAGATAGATAAATAAAATTTTACATATAAGTAAAAGTAATAATTTGCCTTTCTACCGGAAGTAGTAGTTTACGCTGTTTTCGATTTTACAAAAAATTCATATAAATTTATAAAGTACTAATAATATTCCGCTCTATTATACTATATACACACATTGTTTTCCATTAATTAGGTGTCCTATTCTCGTTTCTACGAGATTCTATTGTATTTTAAATAGTTTTAGCAATTAAAAATGATTAAAAATTATGTCTATATCCCGAGTTGCCACCCCATAGTGTTATAAAAGAATATTCGACAATATTATGGAGGAGAGATCACTCCGGTTTTATTTTCAGCACTTTAACCTTTTTTATTAACAATAGAGTTGCGCACCTAATGAACATGATAACTCGTGTATAATAAGGTGGAATAGTTGGTTACGACTGCGAACTAATTTAGACAAAATTTTCATTAAATCATTAAAATAATTATTTGGCATCCAATTAAGTCACATGTAATATTAGATTGCATTGTCTTCATGTCTTTACCAACGTGCCAATTTTTCGCACGCTAGTTTCGATCCATGATGCGTGTCGGTAAACAAACTGTCGACAGAAAGCAAGTTAAATAAGAGCTTGTAGATACGTTTTCTTACCGAAGTATATTTTTTTGAACATTTTGAGCTTAAACTTTCACCGGAAATAAACGTTCTAAAATGGCAAAATATATAGAACTAGCGAAAGAGCTAGACATTATGTAGGAAGACAGGTTGGCATTTGCAAAACAAAAGAAAACTGAAGACGATACTAGAAAAGAAAAAGAAGAGAAGGCTAGAAAAGAAGAAGAGAAGGCTAAAAATGAAGTAGATGACAAAGAAAGGGCTAAAGGGTTAGAAGATAGATATTGGGAAAAATAAGCATTTGAAAGAAAGAAAAAAGAAGATGAAAGACAGCTAAAAGCAGAATCCGAGAAAATAGAGCTAAATAGATCTGAAATTACTACAGGCAGTGTTGGTGTTAACTTAAGTGCACCAGAGAATGGCAGTCTACGTAAATTAAGTCCATGGGAGAATGGCAGTAATCAGGATAAAATAATACTATCGGATGATAGCAAACCAATGATGATGAACAAGTCGGTAAACGAAATAAGCAACACTGGAGATAACGTACCTGTATAAGAACTATTAAGAAAGTTGGAGTCAAACTATAAAGAAGATATACTGGACCTTAAGAATAAATTTGACAGAGAATTGGAGAACTTAACAAAGAAATTTTTGAATGAATTGGAATTAATAAAGAATCACAATTTAGTCAAGAAATATGAGACAAGAACTAAAAGCTACAATGTAATTGAAGCACAAACTGAAATCAGAAGAAGTGTATTAAGTTGTGGATACAGTAACCAGAATTATAAAAAAAAAAAAAACTCATAGATGTTTTTACATCGGAAACACAGGTCACTACCAAGACCACTGCTAATGTAGATTGGCAGATCAAACAAGAAAAAGTCATGTACAAGAAACTACATATCATTCAAAATACTGCAATAACAATAATTTAAGAAATAACGTATCTTATTAGGCTAACGGAGACCTAGATGACAGATATCTAATAAAAAAAATTATGAGAGGCCAAGGCAATGCCATATTTGTATCAAGTTGGTTGATAAACCAAGCAAAAGAACACATAGTGAGAAAAATAATAACGTAGATCAGAAGCTAGATGAGTAAGAAATAATACAGATACCCAAAGAGAGGAAAGATAATGGTCAGGAAAAACCTAATAGTAATACAAGTTAAAATAAATCAAGGGAATTATTATAGTAGCAAAGCTAGAAGCCACACCCACAATTTTAGGAAGAGATGTCAGACAGGTCATCAACTATATAAAGGTTAAAACAAACATGATTTTATGAATTTATTGTTACACACTATGCCAAGTATAGTATGTTTTTATGTTATATAATGTTTAATGTACAATGTCTATGGTGGGCAAATAAAAGTTAAGGACTATATATACATCACATGATTATAAGCAGGACGTCTAAATCATGACTCATGTATTGGTCAGATCTTGCTGATGGCAGGAATGTTATTGATGTGCCGTGACCTAGATGTAACTTAAATGGGTCAACTAGGGGAGATAACAAGAAAATTACACAAGCGTGGTAAGAAAATGCCCTGTGGATAAGGAAGGCTACCACTGAATATAATAATAAAATAGTTAAAAAAAAAACTTAAAAAAAAACCACGTTTTTCTTGTGGACTAAAAAGTAGAAAATAAATTTTTCTTTTGTGCTTCCTCGAGCTGTGCAGGTTCTTGTGATGACTGACAAAAACGTGGGTACGTTCACCATCAAATTTCCCGACCCATCTGCCCGACCTACGTTTTTTGTCAGTCATCACAAGAACCTGCACAGCTCGAGGAAGCACAAAAGAAAAATTTATTTTCTACTTTTTAGTCCACAAGAAAAACGTGGTTTTTTAAAAAGTTTTTTTTAAAGTTTTTTATTTTCTCCTTTTTAGTCCGTTGCTACACATGAAAAACGTGGTTTTTAAAACGTTTTTTATATAGTTTATTTTCTA